GACATGTCCTTCAATGCACATATTAAACAAATATGTAAGACTGCGTTCTTCCATTTGCGCAACATCTCTAAAGTTAGAAATATCCTGTCTCAGAGTGACACCCCTCCCTGAGCCTGGTTCTGCCGGAGGTTTATTCCTGTTAAAAGGGAGTTTTTCCTTCCCACTGTCGCCAAAGTGGTTGCTCATAGGAGATCATGATTATTGGGTTTTTCTCTGTATCTGTTATTGTACGATCTACTGTACAATATGAAGCGCAACTGATGTTGTGATTTGGCGCTATATAAATAAAATTGAATTGAAAAGTTTATAGCATGTGAAAAAGAGGTTTTATGAATCTAAGATGTCTCTATTTGTTGTTTTGCGATTGTGCGCTAGGATCAGATACTGATGGAAGTCATTGCTTCACTGTTTGTTTTCGCTTTGCTTTACAATGTTTTATAGTGCTGGATGTTGAGTAACAGTACAGCTGTTAGAAATCAACTGAGAAGTACTTCTTCAGTAAGGAATTTTATTCTAATATATCAACAATACGTTTTTAAACTTATATAACTTAAATTTCTATTGTAATGAAACAAAAAGTGGCGATTTGCTGTTTATATGTTTTATATTGAAATCAATTAAAAACAAACAAAACAAGAAAGTTTGGGCTTTTTTGGATTTTTTGTTTTGTTTATTTATGTACATGTTTTTACATCAAATTGGCATAACATTATGACCACCTACCTACCATTGTGTTCATCCCCAATTTGCTTGCCAAAAAGCCCTGTCCTGTTGAGGCATGGACTCCTCTAGACCCGTGGACGTATTCTGTAGCATCTATACCAAGATTTTAGATCCTTTAAGTCTTGTAAGCTCTGAGGTGAGCCCGCATGTAACAGACTTGTCTGTCAAACACATGACAGATGCTCAATTGGATTAAGATCTGGGGAATTTGGAGGCCAAGTCGACATCTCAAACCGGTTGTTGTGCTCCTCAACCTATTTATAAACCATGTTTGCTTTGTTGCAGGATGCATTATCCTGCTGAAAGGGGTCATCAGGGAGTACTGTTGCAATGAAAGGGTTTCTGCAACAGTTCTTAGGTAGATCCAAGGTTTCCCATAACACTGCCCAAAGGTTTCCCATAACACTGCCCAAAGTGTCACATCCCCCCATCAGCCCGCCTTCTTCCTGTAGGACATCCTGGTGCCACATTTTTCTTAGTTAAGCAAAACACACAACTGGACATCTGCCGCAGTGAACATTTCTGAACAGAGATGGGCAGTAACGCATTAATTGTAATGCATAATTGTTTTCAAGTAACGAGTAAAATAAGGGATTACTATTGCATAAAATGTAATTAGATTACTGTTACTTTCCCATAACCACGCTGCGTTACTACGTCATGACAGTGACGTAAGCGAGTGCGACATTTGTGGCAACAGCTGTGTACAGATCAACAATGGATATTATAACAAGTGTGGGAGAGAGTATGACCGTGCAGTGTTTAAAGCATGGAAGAACTGACCTTACTTTGAGTTTGATTCTGTAAAAGTGACAAAAACATTAGCGTCTGCTGTTCACTGTGTGGGAAGAAAACTTCTTTTTACAGTGAAAAAAAACCCCTAAACCTCTGAGCAAGCACCGAGTAGGCTACGCTACCACGAGAATGTGAAATTCACAGAGAAACACGCAGATTCTTTCCCTGACCACTGCGGCACACCTGCACCAGGGCAAACCTCCACCTGCCCCACTCCTGCTATACAGGTGAAAATAGAGTAACAGGACTGCTGAGTCTTCGATTTTATTTATTTTCCACTGTGTTTTATGTGCATCTATTTGAAAGAGTAAGTGTCAGCATAAAAAACTATTTTCTTTTATGTGCTGGAATATGCAGAAAATCGGTTTAAATGTTAAACAAATTTAGTTACTTATTACTATTTTCAAGAAAGTTGACCAACACCGTTTCTAAAAAGAATGAGAGAAATTTAACATATTTAATAAACAAGTGAGGTTTAAAAGCTTGCAGTTGTTTTTAGCTAAGCTTTTAGTTAAATCACATCTGATGACCGTCATTAAATGTGTCTTTTAGCAGTTCAGCAGGTAAGGAGAGTAGAGATCAGTCTCCACCGGATCTCAAGCCTGAAACTTATTTTAGCAGTTGGTTAACAGGTAACTCTACCACCATCAAATTTCACTTCCAGAGTCATTAGGAGTGTAAAATAAAGCAAAACATTATTTACAGCAATATTCTAAAATAATTTTCTTTCCACCTGTTGTTTACAGCATAGTTTGATACTTATAATAATGGGAATATGGTAAAGTACCGTTTTATATTTTTTGTAATGTCATGATGTGTTAGAAAATGTGATGTGTTGGTCATTTTGTCATGGAATGACAAAAATGTGTGTATTTTTAATGTTTACAAAATTAACCAGGAAATTAGTTTGCTATTGTTACTGGAGGTAGATGAAGACTGTCATCCTCCAACTCCAATAAAGGTGAATGGGATGAGTCCACAGGTTTTACAGACAACTGATTTCCTTACAGTAGGGGTCCCGAATCCCACGAGGGCCGGTGTCCTGCAGGTTTTAGATGTGTCCTTAATCCATCACAGCTGATTTAAATGGATAAATTAGCTTGTCAACATGTCTTGAAGTTCTCCAGAGGCCTGGGAATTAACTAATCATGTGATTCAGGTGTGTTGACCCAGAGTGAGATCTGAAACCTGCAGGGACACCAGCACTCGTGGACTGGGATTGGGGACCCCTGTCTTACAGGAAGAAACAGGTTTATATCGTAAAAAAATAAAATATTTTATTGAACAATGGCTTTAAAACAACATATGAAAGCCCTTTATTGAGGTCGAACAAGCATTAATAGGTGTTGTACAGGCTCATTAAGATACAGGGTTTACTTATTATTAGCTATTAGCAATGAACGATGATAGTACTAACTGTGTACCTTCCAATGGGAAAAACCTTTTAACACTCATTTTGGAAGAAAAAACATCAAAATTTTAGGATATTTCTTTTCCAGATTTGATGAATCCCCGAATTATCATTCAAATTACAATTAATAAAGTAATGCTACAAATAACTTCAAAGTAACATTTTCAAAACTTTCTTCTATATGATTTCGGTAAAATTATTTAAGAATTGTTCACTGAAAAAGCCCTGGATAGATCATAAAACATATAAAGAGGAATTATACACTAATGAAAATATTTTAAATTATACATTTTGAAGGATTAAAATTTATGCAATGTCTTTGGACTTTAAGGCACAGGTTAGAATTTTTATGAAGAAAAGAAACAAAGAAATTAAAATTCCAGGTGTATTAAAATTGGATTGGATTATACAAAAGTTTTATTTATAAAGTTTAATGGTAATAAAAAAAAGCAACATAACCACAATGTAACTTCACATAGGTTCTCATCAGATTTCATAAGAAGAAGGATGTTTTCACTACTTCCGTGACTAAAGATAAACTGCTAGAGTACCTATTATAACTTAAGGACAGCAGTGGCTCTAACAACAATGTATCTATTTGTTTGCCTGATGTTTCATGAATTCACTTCTGCCACACGTTGTTTCTGAATGATTTTATTGATTTAGCCATAAAATCGAGGTCAATTTTAACAGTGGAACCTGAATCTACGTCTATGGCTGTGGTCGTCATTTCTGTGGCACCAAACTTGATTTGTAGTTTGATTTCACGATTCATGCCGCGTGCTGTGTCAGGTGACTCAAGAATAATAGAACCAATTTTCTCTACTCCCCACTCATCCACATACATTAGATCTTGGATTTTTCTCTCTGTGCGATAAAATGCAAAGGTAACCGCTGTCTGATCTCTTTCTACTGGAGTGAAGCTGTGCTCACTGGTTTTATCCCAGCCCACTTCCTCATTTTCCTTCACCAGTACACAGAAAATAGCATCACACCACTCGCCCTCTTTGTTTGTGTATCTCTTGTCTGCTCTATGTTTGGATGCATCAAACCTATGAGACAAAGAAACCCCGTAAGTAAAGGCACTTATTCGAGATGCCACCAATGCTGGGTTTCTTCCAAACATCACAGCTCCCTTCATGATTGCTTCTTGAGGATGAGAAGGACACAGAACTTTACACTGATCACCAAAGTGACTGGTAATATGCTGACGCAGAATCAGGCTTTGAGCGTAGCCCCCCAATAACAGAATGTACTTAATGCTGAAACCTTTCTTCAGGATTTCTCTGAGACTCTTGGTGATGCCATTCAGACTCTCAGCAAAGAAAGATCGTACTTTCTCTTTTGAGATTTTGATGGCTCCTTGATTCCAGGAAACACCTCTCAGCGATTCAAAAAACTTTTCCATTTTCTGCTTTTCTTTTGCCATTTCACCCAGGTTATATGGGCAGCTGATCTCCACATTATCATCATTCTCTTTTAAAACTGAGATATCATACATCATCTTCTGCAGCTCTCCTGGATGCTCTTTTTCATATTCATCCCACAAACTATCACTGAAGATTTCTCTGAGGAACTCTTTGAATTTGTTATCCACAGTCTGTCCCCCAAAATCATTTCCTGAGGCCTTGTGCAGCTCTTTCAGGGCTCCTCCCTCCAGGACTTCATGAACAGTGATGTCAATGGTTCCACCTGCAAATCACAGGAATTAATTAAAAGTGACAAGTGATAGCATCTATACCAGGGGTTGGAAACCTTTCTGAATCTGTGGCAAGATCTGAGAACTGCTGTTCACAAATGCTGTCCATCTAATCTGACTGAGCTGGAGCTGTTTTGCAAAGAAGAATGGGCAAGAATTTCAGTCTCTAGATGTGCAAAGCTGGTAGAGACAGACCCTAAAAGACTGGCAGCTGTAATTGCAACAGAGAGAGAGAGAGAGAAAGAGAGTTTTGAGATGTGAGAGATTTGTGATGTTTAGCGTTTGTAGTGTGTAGTTAAATTTGTTGACTTGTGTAGTTAGTGTGTAGCGTGGATAGCTTTGTGTTATGTGTCAGAACAATGAGGCGACTGCTGATTACACCTGCTACCGTCAGTCCTGCAGGTATCAGGCTGTGATGTTCTCCTTTATAGTGGACATACAGTAAAAATTTTTTTTTTGGAGTGGCACAAATAATTTGTGTGGCATCTTATTGAATCCAGAACAGCGGATTGTTCTGTAAATAGTTTGAAATGGTTATTTAAAAAGGGGGTAAATGTAAACGGCTGCAAATAACTTTGTTGTTTGCAAAACTGATGCATATGATTTTAAAATTGACAATTTATATTTGCATTAAAAGTTGTGAAATATGATTCAATAAACATGTTTGTGGTTATAAACAGTACTTTTTCTACTCCGATTTTCTGTTTTTTGTCTGATTTTAGATCAACTGTGTTAATACAGTATGTCAAAATGAAACTGTAAAACCAAACACTAACAAACACAAAATTCAAACATGTGAGGTTGTGCTGAAAAGAATGATTCCTTAGTTTGACTTCCCTGTAATTGATTCCATAAGTTTTGGAGCAATATAAATTTAGTTATCTGGTATCAATTCTGACACCGCTCGATTCAATGTTTTAAATGGGAGTCCTGAATGGTTTTAGTTTCATCCTCCCAGGCTAACATAAATAAATATCCAAAACACCACATTATGTGGGAGAGGTGTTCTGTCTAAATAATCTTCATTTTATTAATAATACATCGATAAAGTTAAATTTTCTGAATTCGTGTAAACTTTGACAAAAACAACATTGTGTGAGTAAAATGTAAAAGTAAGAAAAATTACACTATGAAAACACAGAGTACCTCCACAGTCCACCACAATGTATTGTGTTCCTGAAGCCTGTTCGAATGTGACTTCACTGTTATTTTCTGTTTTATAACCATCAGCTGGCAGCTTCTTACACCAGACTGAGGCTGCTTCTGGTTCCAGTGCAATGACCAGTCTGTCTTCCTTGCCTGTGGTAACAATCCCTGCCTATAAATCAAAGGTAAATAAATTTTTCACTTTAAGCAGAACAGTTGATCTGTTTATTGTCTTTGTTACCTGTGTCGCAGCTTCTCTCATGAACTGTTTTGCTGAAGGATCCCAGATGGCAGGTACAGTCACCACCCAGGTGAAGTCAGAGGCTATGAACTGCTTCCCACCAGCATTTTCTGAGATGAATTTCAGAGCGTCCTCCTTCAGGTATCTCAGAGCTTCTGTGAACACCTTCAGTGCCTTCATTGACCGTCCATTTGCAGCTTCAATTGTCACATCACTATTAACTTTCTATGATGGCAGACTGGATATTAGTTAATAGGTTTGTAACTTCCTATGTGAGAGTCTAAATCAAACAGCAATTTACAGAGATTTAAAATCTTTTTCAAAAATGACTAGCCAAAAGATGATATTTATGTTTAAAATTGATGTATTTATGTTTATGTTCTTGTGGCTATCATCTTACATTATATCACAATTAATAAGGTTGATCAGGAAAATGCAAGAGCTAAAAGTATTTAACTATACTGTAATCATCTATAACACACTCAGCACAACGCAGAAAGTGTTAAACCATAATATAAGATTGATGATATATTTAGATTTTTACACTTACTTTGCCATAGAGGGACATCTTGAAGCATTCAAAGAAGAATTTCTTTCTGGCTTCATCACCTCGTGTTCTAAAATAAGCTGACTGGGCTTCATAACCAAAGCTGAGAAATTTTCCATGATCATCAAAAAGGATGCAGGTCGGAGTCTTTGGGGTCCTCAGTGAAACCTGTTGACCCCAGTATTTTAAACGAGGTTCAATTTCTGCTTCTCTTTTTGTCAGACTGAAAGCATATCCACTGTACGCAGTGCCAAAGTCTATCGCTATGATGTATGAGTTATCCATTGTGGAAACAGTGCTGAAGAGCAGCAGTTACAGAGTATTTATGAACAAAACAGGGGGCGGACCTCACTGAACTCCACCCCCTGGTCTGTGGAGTTCAGTGTAACAGTCGTACTTGTGTCAGACTGAAAAAAGACTTTCACTAAACAAGACAAGACACAACGATGAGTACTCAAAAGATCCGCAGGTAAATACTTTATATCAACCTGTGTCACTGCATAAACTGTCAGATTTAAATGTTTATACAAGTTAAAAGTATATAAACATGAAAATGACTGAATGTAATTTAAAGTTTTGTTCATCAGTTTTCTTAGTTTGAAATGATATGATGAGTATGTAGTCCATAGCTTAGGTTTAGTATTTTTCCTCTCTGGACATCTGCCTAGATATCTGTGATATCTATATACAGATATATCTGTTTCTTTACCTTCAAATTAGAGATTGTAATCTAATTGCTTGATTACAATTAGAGATTGTAATCAAGCAGCAGCTCCACAGGATGTCACTATGTTGCTATATGATCTTCATATCATAAGATTTTACATTTTAGAAAAGCTCAATAAACATTAAAACTCTGAAATGAATTCTTCAAAATTGTTGTGTGTATTGTGAATAACTTTTCTATCAATCAGCAGGAATCAATCAGCAGCTCCACAGGAGCTGAGGTAAGGATTCACTCTTTTTTAATA